TGCTGAACCTGGGCTACTTTTCAAATCTGTCTTTAAAGAACTACTCAAAAAGAAAATATGATCTTCATCTCTAAGATAAATAACCTGAAGGCAAACATGCAGGTTTTCCTTACTTACAAGACTCTAAAGCAGATTACAAAAAATGATGTAATAAAAGGAATCTTAAAGGAGATTTAAAAAAAAAAAGGGCTTAGTCATCTGATTGAAAATAGGAATCTTACCCCCACACTCCTTCAGAGCACTTTCACATGCAGGAATTGCTTCCAAAAAATGAAGCCACCTATTCTACTAAAGTCTGATACAAGACTTAGCAGAACAAAATTCATATGAATTAACAGCATTATATCTGGATGATAAGAGTTTTTAGGTTTATATTATTCAGCAGTTACATAACCTTTCAGCTGCCACCTTCCAATTCCCATTTTCTCTGAATTAAGTTTTCTACTGGAGTATTCAAGAATGTTATAATCTCACCATCAGAAAGAATTACACAACATTAGACAAGGCTGCAAAACACTTTTCTATTCAAATCGCTTTCACGAAAGAGGCTAAGAGCTTTGTTGTACAAAACAAATAGGCATTTTAGTATCTGGTGAGCACAGCAAGCCTGTTGTAGTTCAAGCAACATCAGCTTCAAAAATCACTGGAAAGATTGATGATACAGATAATTTTCTTTAAAAAAAAAAAAAAAAAAAAGAAATTGAGGTTTCCATCAACCTCCCAAAAAGATAAAAGAACAGAACTGCTAACATTAGTGTGTAATCTCTTGTACACACTCTGCCTCACAACGTAAGAACACTATCACCTTGTATTTGGCAAACTGAAGGGACCTATAACCTTTGTTACTAGTGTCAAAGAACTCAAAAAAAAAAAAAAAAAGAGAAGACGCATGCAACAGCAACAAAATGTTCTTTGAAATGTTTACTACTGATTTAGTGACACCATACAACATGCATCTCTACAGTCTATTACAGAAAAGTCATTAAAAAAATTCACACTAAACCCTGTACAACAGTTTCCTATTCAAAACATCCACAGTATGTATCAAACAGCTTTATCCTCTTGCTGAGCAAAGAATTAAATGCAAAATATTTCTAATTTGAGACTGGCTTCTTTAATATTCTTATTAAAGAGGGAAAAATTAAAAGGCCACAGCAGTTTGTTAAGGATATCCACAAAGCATCTGGAATTTAAAGAGACAGTAATTTTCATCCAATTACTGTAGTATTCCAGAAATGGTATTTTTGACTGAAGTAGACAAAAGTTCTACATACCTCAAAGCCAAGTCTATCTTTCTCTTTCCAAAAACAGAAATGCGTAACCTTCTTATCCCAAAATTCATCTGGCTTTACTACACAAACAAGTGACACCTCAGCTGGAACAACATTCTGTAAAACAAATGAAAAAATAAGTAAAACATTCAAGATTAAACCTTCATTTACTGAATTCCACTTACATGCCATCATCTATTCAAGAACTTAAAATTTACAGACAGAAATTAAACTAAGTCTGCTGCATCTACATCACATGTTGGCTCCATCCTGCTTTGTAATAGATAGCACTAAGTTTCATGGAAAAATCGTGTCAGAACTGAAAAGAAAAATCTAACCTCTTTACTCCCAGTTCTGAGGCCTAACCATTAGTCTATGCTACATCAGCACAGAAAAACAAGAATTATTGAATTATTGGCTAGACTTAATTTTATTTATGGCATTTCATTAAAAAAAAAAACTCAAGGACAACAAAGCTATTACCAGTGCCATTTGCTATGTAGAAAGAAGCAGTAATCGTGAAGTTAGAATTGTGTACTTTGTTATTAAATCACATCAAGATTGTATCCTATACTTCTCTAGTACATATTGCTTAGACTAGAATGAAAGGGCTTAATATTAACATTTCAGCATATTAATTCATAAAAGTATTATCACAAAAACATTCCTCAACCTAAAACAGTAGTTTCATCTAGCAAGTTGATTTTATGTTGTCACACTGAATGTAGATCAAGCAACAGAGACTCTTGATTACTCCCAAGTCATCAGCTATAGCAACAAGCAACAGTTAATCACAGTACTGACAAAGGTGACACAGTGCACAGGATTTCTCTTCAAATAACTCATTTTATTTACAAAAATATAATTCTGAAAAAGTTATATACATCCAACTCAAAGCATAGCACTGAAAAAATTCATTCTTGCACCATTTTAACGAATATACAAAAACTATTTAAAAGTAGACAAGATTTTTAACACAGAAGTGTCTGATGACCAAGCAGCACCTTTGAGAACCACGTGTGTGCAAGCAGAGAGAAACCTCAAGTGGTCTGCACAAGTGATTAGTTTACATATGAAAATCTTCTTTATTGTTTCTTTCTCAAATTAAAGATACAGATGTGCAACTTCTGTTTCTGCAGGCTTCGCACTGGCAGGAAGTGTGCTGACAGGAAGACACTGAAATCTGAGCACGGGCAAACAGGTACCTTCCCCACTAGCTGAAGTTCCCACTAAACGTCACAACTGCACATTAGCTGAATTGAAAGCTCAGTCAAGATCATAATCAGAATATAATAGATCCAATTACTATAACTATTAATAGGAATGCCATCTTAGTCAAGAGTAGGTGTATCTTGCGTTTTCTCTGACCACTGAGACCAGAAAACAACCTATACTGTTTAGCAGAAATATTTTACTGTATTTTACTTCATTGTAACAGCACAGTTCTGAAATGTTAAAATAATAAATTGCTATGAATTTCTTTAATTGGGAATTGGCACTTTTTTTTTCCTTCTCCTACTTTCTATAGCATCCAGAATATAATTTGTGATTGGGACTATTATACACAACAAAAACCAACTACAGCCAGTTCCAATCGAAACCAAGTAGTACAGCATATTGCATCAGAACCTGCTCAGCTACGCTATCAATGTGAACTGTTCCCCTGCAGACATTCCTACTACTCACAGTTGATGACAGCAGAAGCATGCTTCTGGGTTGGTTTTTTTTTTTAACTAAAACTCTGTTTTAGAAAAAGGTCTACAATCATGTGTTCTCAGCATGTAATGAACTTGCCCCTCACTTGAGCGAGGTGTATCATCTACTCTTCAAATTGTTTCTTCCTGCACAGAACCACATTTTGCAATTTTAAAAGGCCATAAATTGTCTATTTCTCAATAAAGAAATTACTGCCTTTACAATAACACAGCTATTGGGTTCACATCTATAAAACTCAGTCAACTATGAATGTATAAAAATTTATTTACCTGTAGCATTAACACAACTGTCTTTACCACGTTCCATTGAGATTTTCTGCCATCCACTATCACAGTAAATCCTCTAGCTTTACACTTCTCACTAAAAGAAGAAAAACACTTAGAAAAAAATAAAATTCATGAACAAGTGTCATATCACAATGACTTTGGATTTCAACTCTACTGAAAAAATACAACTACATAGTTTTTTACTTATAAAAATACTGCTTTAAAAACCTGAAGTTTACTCATTTAGAAATAACTTTCAATTTTAATGGTCAAGCATATTAACAGATATTCCAAATTACAATTTCTCAGTAGCACTGAAGTGTACTTCATAATACAAGCATTTATTTAAACTTTAGCAACTCTGAAAGGTTTCATAACCATAAACGTCACAAAATCCTCAGAAAGAAGAGGTCGATTGACAGTTTCATAAGGAAGACAGAAGGATGTCAGTTTTCAAAAGGTTACTTGTGAATTGGTACAGACTTGAGGATACAGCTACATATCACTTGATGCATGTCCAAGGAAACCATCTAAACACGCTTAAATTTCTCTCCTGAACAAATGGGCTAGAAATTGCAGTGCACAAAAAGCCTCTACAAGGACAGAGGCTTTGAGTATGGACCTACAAGAAAGAGTATTTTAGACTGACATCATCTCTTTTTCTTCTAATAAGGTTTAAGTCTGCGTATACTACAAAAAAACTGCTGCAAACAGTTAGCTGCAAAGCCAAAAATTCAAAGGCACTTCTGCTCAAGTACCGAATGGGAGAAAATAGTGAAAACCTTCCTCACTCTGTGCACTCCCACAAAGACCTCTCCAGCTCATTTCCAACAGAAGCTGGCAACAAAATGCTCACAACAACAGCTGGGCAGAGAGTTCAATGGTGGCAGCAACCTCTGGATGTCACCAACAGCTGGGAAGCGTTACCTTCTCACAGCCAGCCCAGCAGCAGCCAGAAAAGGACATGGAAGCGAGCCCATAATTTCAGCATTAGTTACCACATTAGATATCATGTTTCAGGTTGAAATTTTTGTGTCCAGCAAAGTTAGAAGTAACTAAAAAACATGACATTTACATGATGTAGAAAAGCGTTATGTAATCTTTCGCACCCAAATCTGCAATTACAAAACAACGCCATTTCTGTGATCTCCTTAGCTTACAAAGAACAAAGCAACCTGCACGTAACAGTACGCATTATGTTTCACATCGAGAAATTCAACTGTTGATTATTTCATGTTTAAGCTGAGCTTCATCAGGTATGGGTGGAAGACAAAATTACCTCAGAATTTTAAAAAAAGGGAAAAAAAGGCACCTTACTAGTTTAAGAAAAAAGAATTACAAAGTTGGCTGCCAATCCATATATATTTTTGGTTTTAAGGAACCCCGAAGATCACACACATGAATTTTCTGGAAGCACTCTGAACACTCAAAGCTTTGTGTATTCAATGTTTAATCAGAATGAACTCAAAAAGCACACTACCACTGCTTTTAAGAACAAGATGAAAAGTGTCACTATAGCATCTTGAGACATGGCTTCCTTAGGCTCACTGGAAGCTAGCAGTATCAGCATCTGTTCTTCTCTACTACTAGACCTATTAAAAAACCAAACAAACAAACAAACAAAAAAACCACCCAAACAACCAAATTCAAAAGTGAGATACCACTTCTGAAAAGTTCAGCCAACACTCAAACATAAATGTTTGTGTGAAAGTTTAAAAAAAAAAAAAAACAACAAACAAAAAACCACCACTTGGTGATTCGAGCGACAATACAGAGAATACAACAAAGGAAGCAAACTTCAGTATGCACAGACAATAGCATAACATGGCTACTTTTATTTTTATTGGATTGTGAAGGCGTCTTCAGAATCCAAGAAAATCATCAAATAGCATCAAAGAAAGGCGTAACAGTAGACTTAAACACTAGGAATTGGCTGTCTGAAGTTTGAGGAAAGCTTTACAGACACATACTCCTCACATACACGTCCCAGAGAAGTTTTACCCAAGACACTGTAAAGTTATGCCTCTCAAATTTTGAACACAGCTATCCATCAACACTTGAATGCATAGTTCCAAACACTTATAGTTACAACATATGGCATGCGCAACTGAATTAAAAGTTAAACATATTAGGTTACCTTACACATAGAACTTGGGGGAAAAAAGTAACATTAATGTTTCTTGGATAGCTACCTGGGTTTGGAACAACATCCCTCCCCAAACCTCTCCTTTTTTCAAATACTGTTCAGCAAGTATTTCCAGAACAAAAAAAGGCAAGCGCTTAGGCCAAAAAATTTGCATTTCCCACTAAAAAACAACATGCAAATAAAAACGACAATGGTTTTTCCATACTGCCACCATAAAAGAGAGGTCATTTTTTCCATGACTGACAAACAGAGCATTAGACATGGGAACACTGAACTTCGCTTTCAAACAATTTCCCAGTTTGTACAAAGTACAAAGAGTACTTTGGTTGTATTTTCAGACAGTTATTTTTACACTAATATATGTAAAAGCATACATCAGGATGAGACTGCAGAATAATTAATGCTTGCTAGAACAACAATGCCTGCATCTGTTCCACAAATACTGCCAAGTCTTTAAGTCAATGAGATGACTTGTGCGGATGACCATTTGGGATTTTCATCACTTTACAAAAGACAAAAAGCTGTTTGAAAAACCGTAAAGCTTCCATGACTAAAATGTTTTTAAATATACTCATATACCTATTGATGTTTTACTTGTAAGCAACCTGAATTTATTCTTTACTTCTCTCTTCCCAATCAGAATTTTTTTAAACAGTCTCAACTGCAAAAAAAAAAATCAGATCATTTAATTGTGTTTTAAATCCACTTATACTTATTTGTAATAAGCAAAGTACAATAAACAGTCTTTAGTTATGCCATTGTTCCTCTGTTTCCAGAAGAGGAACTTAAAGGGATACAAAAGCAAGCATTTATCTAAGGTGCTTCTTTCCTTTTTAAATCAGTGGCAGTTAACTAAGCTAGGACCAAGAACTGTCACTATAAGCTTGCAGGGTTACATCTGCAGAACCTAATCAACGATGATTTTACAGCAAGGTCTGGATGACAGGATACTCAAGTCGTCATTCAGCACATTTAAGCAGTATCTTAACTTTAAACATCTGAGTTGCTCACTAACTTCAGTAAGACTTCATATATTTTTAGACTCGGTGCAAACTTAAGCACTACAAGCTACAAAGATTGGGCACATAACAAAGAAAGAAAGAGGATGAAGCTTTTTTACTTTGGGCAACGCTACCTTTGTAAGCTTAGGAGTTTCATTAGAATGGCTCATTAATTTACACAGCAATTTAAGTGCACTGTCATTAAAAAGAAATTACCAAAGATATCCCAAGAAAGGAGCGAGGAAATACACAAGGCAAAAAACCCAAAGCCAGATACACAGAATAAAAGGACATATGCAAACCGTAGTAGATAACCCTTAGTTTATCAGGATGTATGTTTTGCATTCAGTCAGCCAGTATCACATTTTAAAATATTTATGTAAAATTCATTTGGTATTGAAAGGCAAATAAAAAGAAAAAAACAATAAAAAGATCCCTTCCACCACTGGAAAAGAAGGCAGCCCTGAACAGAATGCCTTTGAAATCACCTTGGGATACTTAGAAGGTAGTCTAGTGTGACACTCAGCTCGTCCATACTTGTCTGTTCAAGGCATAATGGAATTGTCAGAATGAGGCCACTTCTTCTGTCCTTCCCTCCTGTTTCGGGGGGGGGGAAAAGTCATTAGAAAGGTATTGTGATGACTTTAAGGTAAAATACTTTGTAGTTACATGGTCTCAAAATACATTATAAAAGTAATCTTTAAAGTTGCTGTGAAAAATCACAACTGACATTTCACCTCAGTTGCGAGGACTCATTCACCACATTGATATTTAAGGCATCACCAAGGCTTCAGAGCATAGACCACATCTGTAGCTGTCACAGTCTTTCATCTAGTACTTTCAACATAAACAACACAAATGTATCTCCTAGACCTTGTACACTACCAGCCTGTCAGAAACCTGGTAAGCTGCCAAGGTGAGCATGTACCCAGCAGCTCCCACTGGAACACACCACCTCCTAGAAACATCGGCTACACAAAGGAGGATCTTGTACCCCAAAGGCTGCCCATGGCACATACTCTAAATTGGTAGTTCATTCATCAAACACATAAGATTTCCAGACCTATTTACAAATGCATAACAGTCATCTCACAGTTAAGATAAATATCTCCAACCAGTTGCTTTAATCTTCCTATGTGTTTTCAAACCTTTCTGGTAAAAGTTACACAAACAATCAGGAACCAAAATATTGGAAGAGCTGGCCTCGCTTTTATATGTCCATTATGAGATTCAGTAAGATCAAGTGTTAGGTGATGCTGATGTGCTGCATTTAAGTAGATATTCTACAACCGTGGTTTGGGTTGTGTTTCACTACACAGACTCTCAAGTCTCTGGAAAGGTACAGTTTAAAAAAAAGAAGTAAACACACATGGATCTTTAAAGAAAGCCAAAATTTTCTCCTCTGGTCTTTCTTTTAAAAGATTGACTTTTGAGTCACACAGGTACAAACCAGCAACCAAAATGGATTGGGACTAGGTTCTTACTCATAGCTTAAATTGGGACTGAAGCCAAATCCACTGAATACAAGATCACCTGAAAAATAAATACTGACACAGCTCCCTGAAAGGGTCAATCAGCAAATGCTGTAGAGTGAAGGCAATCAGGTGTGCACCTGACTCTTCTCTGCTCACCACATTGTCAAGTACAGGGGCATCACTTTGGATATTTTGAAGGCAGGCAGCCTTGGGACCAAAACATTTGCCCCTAAATGGCTGTTAACTCATCAGAGGATTAAGTAAAAGGGGCAAAGGTAGCTGTGACACATCTTTCCACTTAATTTGGATCAACTCGTCTAGTTCATTTATTCACCATTTTGAACAAAACAGCTTATCTATTTTTTTCTTCCTGCTCTTAAATCTTTTAATGTCTATAGCCAGCAAAAAGAAGACGTCTTAATTTCAAAACTCAATCAATATTTTGGTGTTTTTTTTCAGTGAGGGGAACAGGGGGGGGAAGTACAAGAAGAGAAATGGCGAAGGGAATTTGCACATGAAGTGAAAAAAATTAATGAATCCAAACATACTCCATGAGAATATAGTGCTTGAGTTTATAACTTATTAAATCACAACTTCAATCATCTTAAAGTTTTGGGGTGTTTTTCTTAATCCCTGAGGGTTTTTTTTAAACTAATACTTTAAAACTGGTTTCATGTAGAGATGGGTAAGTTTTCCACAATCTGGAGCAGCTGAAAGCCTTTTCCATTTTATTCAATATTATTTTTTAGAGTAAGTTTTAATATATAAGCTATTTTATTAAATAAAAATACCACTGAGCCATTTAAATACATGTAGGAAGCAGTTACTAAACAATTTTCTCCATACTTAAAACAAACTGTACAAAGATAATGATAATCTCAGCTTTATTTTAGGTGAAAAAGAAGCAAAGTAAGTTCCCATAACCTGAGAAAGAACAAGTTTATTCTCAAATTAAGTGTGCTATTCACATGGTTAAAGCCATTAAATCATGCTTTTGCTTCATAAAGTTGCTCAATATTGTTAGAACTGAAGTTCTATCTAATCAGTAAGAGCAATTTTTTACAGAATAGTAACAGCTGTGCAGAAATAAGACAAAGCACACAAGCACAGCACAGTAATGTTTGCAGATGCATACCTGTACATTGACATAATTTGAGAAGAATTCCCCCCATCCGTTAGAGATGCAGGCAAGATAATGAAAAAAACACTGTTTGTTTACACAGCATATGCTGGCATCTTAATTGCAGTAGGTTTTTTCCTTGTTTCCAAAGCTGTGCAAGCTCCCCAAAAAGTATTAAAGATCCACTGATACTCATGTGTTTTCCACATCTTCATAAAGGACCTACTGCTTTAAGTGGTCCATTGCAATAGTTGCGTCCCCCCCCCCCCCCTTTTCTTTTTTTTGGGCGCCCCCCCCCCCCCCCTCTTTTCTCTGTCTTGGGGGAGAATTGTTGCTGGAAAACAGGAATGCGCATTTTAATAACTATATTTCTAAACAGAAGAATTAAAGAGTGGTGCTATATGAGAAAGTACAAACTGATAGATCCTTTCTCCAGAAACTAAGAGGGAGTCACAGTTTAAAGCAACAGTTATGTACAGATTGTCCACCCACCTCTCTTTCCGAATGCCAGAAAGCCTGAAAATTGGAGTGAGGAAGCAGGAGAAAAAGGAAGGGAAAATACCTCAATGCTTTAAAAACTGGACATTTGTTCTCGTCTGTACATTTGGAGTGAAAAAAGAATTTCTCTCCATTTGCTATACTACTTAGTGCACATTAAATCCAACAAATAAGAGGGAAATGGTAGGATTGTGGATGTAAAATAATACTTCAGAAGACACTGATTCAATGGTAGCTCGTTAGCTACCATCTCTCAATAAAACATTAAAATGAATAAAGAAGCCTTTCCTCAAGTGTTCAGGCATCATTTGGTCTTTCCTTATTCATAACGAAATCCTCAGAGAAGGGAGGGTAGCAGTTTTTAGGAATACAGAAAATAAATTCATTGAAACTGAAATTTGCAACAGCCAATTTCAAAAATGGGTTACATCTTGTAAAATGAAGGAACTATGAAAAATTACTGGAGCAGAGAAACAAGAAAACACTGTCACAAGTATTAATAAAAATTAAAAACATGGACTGGACAGAATTTGGTGATCAAACTGAGTAAGCAAAGTAAGAACACAAGAGGTTATGAAGGTGTTTCTACAGGGAACAGTGGAAGGGTTGCGTTGAACCAACTTCAGGGTGCAAAACTCCATGAGCCATGGCAGCAGCCCAGGACTGTTGGATAATCTATTTGTAAGAATTTTATCTCCCTCTCCTCCCCTACCCATGAACTCATGAGTGGAGCATTAAAGCTGTTCATTTTAATGAATATATACATGGCTGGGGAAGGAAGGGTTTGCAGAAAAACACGTTTTCTTCTTGCGTTTATAGCAAGTTAGTCTTACCATAGATGATTCATAACTGGAAGGGACTTGTTCTGTTCAAAGTTACTTCTGGATTCATGAGAGACACAAACACCATCCCCCACAAAAGTAATTAACTATTAACAGTAGTTCATGTTTTGTTTACACAGACTTGAAAGATTCCAGTGTTGAACAGGGTCTAACTAATGAAAGTTTAGAATTAGCACTTGAAGCCCACTCATACAAGATACTAGACACAGAGAAATTCTTGCTTTTATACCTGAATTTAAACACTATCTGCTGAACGTACTAAACCACCACAAACCAAACCCAAAAACTATAATCTCTTGACATTTCACATAAAGACCGCAATAATTATCTAAATCATTCAGTTTCATTACAAGTCATCTTGTGTAACAACCGACAGGTTTTTGCCCCAGCTTGTAAACACTACTAGAAAAGACTGAAATATCTGTATTCTGCTTGCAATGTGCGTTTTGTGCAGCTTTCTTGCACTGAAGTATATACAGATCAGGTAAGTATTCTGTCAACCTGCCACGGCACAAAGAGAGAACAAGGCAGGAGTTATCACTGATTTTTTTCTTTGGTGAAAAATGATGACTGGTCATTTATGTAAAAGATAATTGGTATACTTTTATCCATCTAAGAATCATTTTAACTCAAAACTGTATTTTTAAAGTAAATACAGAAAAAAAACCTGAATGGGGCTTTAAAAGGATATTACCTAAAGTTACCAGTGAAGAAGTGATGGCTATCATGGCTGTATTCTACCATTTCCCAATACTAACACACTAAACAATAAGAATTATTTAATTAAACAGTAACGTAAGCTGTTCTTTGATCTTGGTTGTATTATTTGTAATTCCTTTCTAAAAACTAAAGATCATATAAATATTTATCGCCACCTTCAGAATACAATGTTTAGTGAGATAAACCCAATCACATTGTGATTTTAGGTGTGGCAAACAACACCTCCTTGTCTTACAAAAAAGCACTACACTCAGACTATCTGAGTCTTTAGGCTTAGGATTAAACCTGAAAAATAAAATCAGGGGAAACGAACTTGATGTGTGTTGTAACTCAGAAGTGGTGTAGTTTATAGATTCTATGATTATAAACTGAAAACACATTTAAGTTAAGGAAAGCAACTAAAACCATCACAAAAAAGAAATTTTTTAATTCATTTTGCACCAAAGTGGTTGTTCAAGTTTTTTGCCAAGTCAGTAGCTTGCCTCTTCTTCCCTAATATTTGTAATGACCTACCAACATGGAAGCTACACAGCCACGGATTCCAAATCTGAGGAGACACTGCTTCATTAGATACCACTCTGTTCTGCATCCAGAAAAAGAAGGCAGGGCCAACATTATTTGTACCAATTTAACTCAAAAATGACAAGAGACTTCAACATATAAACACTGGAGTAAATCAGAAAAATCATATTTTAGGAAAACTGTTTTTAATCATTAATATGTTTTTATTTATGAAAATATATGGAACAAAGTTGCTTTAAAGAGACCTGATGAACTGATTTTTCTGTCAGGTTCCTTTACTTACACTGAAAAATGCTTAAAAGAACTATTGCATGAATCTTTACCATTCATTAAATTAAAGCATCCATTAATACTACACAATTCCAAAAAGGTCAAACCTACTTAGAAATATGTAGGTTCAAAAAGGTTCCTAGCATTTAAACTGCCACTCAATAAATTACTTTCCACTAAGAACATCTATATTTCTAAATGGATCAGCCACCTTTAACAGCAAATTGAAAACGCACTCTAGTTAATGAGAACTTCCCCTTGCGGTATAATGTTGAACAACCAACATACTATGCATCTGCTATTACTACAGGAGAAATTGCCCACTGTCCTAGGCTTTAATGTAAGTTGAGTTTTGGGGGGTTGGTTGGTTTGTTTTTAAACAGGAATTGTTTGATTTGCAATTGCTGGGGGCAGTGGGCAAATTCAAAGCAGAATAAATTCTATTAACAAAAGGAACAGGTTTCACTTCAAGTGACTGGAGCAAGCTAAACTAGACTAGCTAAAAAAAAACCAAACCAGAAGAATATTTATTTACGGCAACACTTGTCAATTTGTGAAGTTGAGAAGTGTTCTGCAAGTTATCTCCCTACCCTAGAGTAGACAATCAAACACCAAGAACTAACACAGGTATCTATGACAGCAGTGAAATCAGCAGGAGAATGTCATTCATCATTTTAAGTATTCCCTTTCATTTTTCTCTGTCATGGGGAGGAGAGAAAGTTACCTTCAACCCAAGATTCAAGAAGTTTTAATAAATACAGCAATAATTCCAGCCTTGCCTGAATTAACTACTTAGCAATAATCAAGATGTTGCAATGCATGGCTAATTCTGCTTCCATCCATTTCTATGTTGGAGAAAAGACGGGGTAAAAAGGAAGGAAATTTTTTCTAAAGAAAATCCTGAAAATATTCACTCTGTATTTCTAAAACCACATAAAAAAACAGAAAGGATTATTCTTGGATGTCTGCTAAATCATCATTCTTTTATATATGGACTGAAACCTCATGACATAAACTTTGTGGGTTCAGTTACAGGCTACAGCAAAAACAAGTGCTAAATGCCAACAGCAACAGCTTGGCTACTAGATTAAAAGTTTCAGAGATCCTTTTGAAATATGACAAAGCACTAACCAACAATATATTTCTGTTAAATACTTCCAGCAAGTACAAGTAACCAATGTAAAAACCCATCCAAATTATGCAGGGAGGAACCAATCGAGGAAAACAGAAACTGTACCTGAAAGAAAAGCCAATTTTTTCTTCAGAATGGGTAATATTACTGAAGCTTCCATTCTACTTCAGATAATTTTCACAGCTCTGAAACACAAGAAGTTAAAGTTGTCAAGCATGGGAAATCAATTACATTTCACTAGAATGAGCACTGGGCAAAACATTTTTGTACTCTTCTGAAGGAAGCACAAAACACTGTAACTAGAATCCAAAGTATTGTAAAAACTGAAGAAAAAACATTATCATACACATTTTTCCATGTAAATCTTTTAAAGATTTCTTTCTCATCATATAATAAAACCAAAGCAGAATCTCAACCAAGGACACTGAGATAATTTATACAAAAGTCCTATTTCCCAACCCCATTAAAACTACAATTAATTTACAGGTAGATCATCTGTTTGCTCAGTCATTCAGATGTAAAACAAGTGTAAATAAAATTACACTTTTGCATAGTCTGTCTCATATTACCAGGGATATAATAATTATTTAAATATGCTATGCTGCATTTATGTCAGGACACTTTTTTGTCCGGGGGGGGGAAGTTAACTGAATCAAAACTACAAATGATCTAGGAGAAAGAAGAAAAAAAAACAAAGAACTCCAAATAGAGAGCCTGAATAGAATAGTTATTCCTTTTCTTATTAAAACAATGAGCTTCATTACAAACAAAAAAAAAAGCAGAATGATTATTTTTATTATGAAACAGAAATAACATTTCAACAACTTTTTACTGCCCCTCCCCGTTCCAATGTGTAATGGTTCAATGTTCATTCCCACCCCTTATCCCAAAATCTTCATATTTAAGTGTTATTTTTGTCAATTACATAAAACACACATTTCCCATATTACAAAAGGAAATGAACAAATTTCAGTGCTTTCAGGAAACTGAGTCCCAAGACAGCTTGCACTTTAAGCAATTACTCAAATAAGCATCCTATTAAAGCTTCCTGTATGCTTCAGAGAAAAATATGTAGGTTATTTGTTGCATAAAACACAAAACTCAAAAATGACTCCGGCAGTCATTTTTGTCCCTCAAACACCACGCTCAGATCACCCTGTGTAAGCTACCTAACTTTGGCAGTATTCTTTTTCTTAAGATGTGGAACACGTACCTGGTAATGATTTTTCCTTCTCCTCCCCAAGTTATATTTCGAAATTATTACAAATGGCTCTCTATTATAATCCATGAAGAAAGCCCAAATCTACACGCACACACTTCATTATCTTCATACTTTCACATATGAACAAAAGTTTGCATCAACTTATTGACTCTAGGGGGCACGTTTCTTTGCTGTTGTGAAAAGACCAATTTATTTAATATGAAAGCACTACCTGGCTTTCTGCCACAGCAGTGGCACTGTCCATGGATCAAAATAGTTCTTTTGTTCAGTACTTCCTGGAACCAAAGGAAGCATTCTGTTCACTCAGAGTGGAGGGAGGTGAGTCAGAACAATTGCCAATAATTTCAAACACCTAGCCTTTGTTCCAGAAACTCCTGAAGTTTTCAATTACCTCTCTTCTGTGAGAAGCAGCTCACAAAGCACTCTTTGATGTGCTCCATCTAGAAGAAAACTCTCACCAGAGCAGGCTATCAGAATATGCCGGAAAAAAATCTTCAGGTTTAAAACGAAGGTTTAACATCCCTCTCTATCTGTTAACACTCAGAGAATCTCAGGATGAGTTACACTAAATGTCTTTTTTTAACATTGGAAAGTGAAACAATTTCAAGAGACCTGGCATCTACTTTCCACTGGGAGCTGTCAAAGGTGTTTTAAAAAGGTACACTGCTAAAAAGCAGATAAGTATATTAGACCCACAAATAAAATGTAAAGTCTTTTTAACTTGGTCAGAGGAAGACAAAACAACAGGCTCTTAAACTGGCCATCAAGCTCTCAATTTAGAATGAGGAAAGAATGATGCCGTACCACTGTTTAGCTGAAAGGAATAGATTTGGTGTCTATTCATCAATTAAAAAAAAAAAAGGCATTTGGACTCATTACACTACAGAAGAGAAACAAGAGCACTGAAGAGAACAGATTTCACTTGAGGAAACTGAAATACTTCAAGAAGCTGCATTTTATCACTTCCAAAACAAAAGACATAACTTTTATATGCTAAAATTTTACAGATATGAAACAAGTTAAAGAGGTTAAATCTGTTTGCTGAATTTCAGAAACAATCTACAGTGCCGCATGCCCACCTGCAATCTACTTTGCCAATTAAAATACCATATGTCAAATTGTAAAACTTGTGTATATAGGAAACATGCTAAATAAAAGAACTATATCGAAGAACCTCACTGAACTTGCTTAGAATGACCTGGGCTTTCAGGTTTTTAAATCAATATAGTAATGTTAATCTCCAACAATGTATTCATTCTTTTGAAGGTTTCCACAGAAAAGTGGCAAGACTAAATTCACGTAACATTTGTATCTAAAACCTAAATACTTGAAAGGTGTTCCAGTGAAATAGAAAACACTCTTCCAACCCCCTCACCAAGCGGAAACTAATACTACTTGTGGAGAAAATTCTCTTAAATATAAACTTAAATGAAATATGTATACATTAGGGGGACAATGGGAGGCAGGGGAGACAGTAAACAAATAGTAAAAAAAAATTACAGAACAGGAAAAAAAAGCAAATATTATTTCAGCCTGCACTCCAATGTGAAATCAAATCATGACTTGGTAGGCTGTATCCCCTATCATATGTAGGCTCTGGAAAGACTGTAAATTATGTTTTGGGGTTGTTTTTTTTTTTCCTTTTTTTTTGCTTTGTTGTTTTTTTTTTCTTTACACAACACAGTTTAAAATTCTAGAAATTCTTTCCAGAAAAAAAAAAAAACAAAAACAACAAAAGCCACAAAACCCCCACACAATATAAACTGTGTAATTCAGCATTAAAGTGCATAATTTCTCATGAATGAAGAATATCGCCTGCATTTGCTGCTACACATCTTCAGTCTCAAGAACCAATGACCAGACACTGTTTAAAACTGTTTTAAAAGTCTGTTAAAAAGAAAGGGCAGAGGGAGAAGCTGACAGACTCACATTGACTAGATGACTGGAAGTAAGATACCCTGAAGATGTTAGAGAGAAGCTGCTCAGCAATTAACAGGTGTTTTCTTTCTAAGCAACCCAGTGAGAACCACTGGTCAAAAACGTTAACAATCAAAACAAATTCAGGCTTAATGAGAATATAAGCACGTTTACCCAAAATCGTTAGATCTGAAACATTTAATACTGTCAGTACATTGTGCAAGGTCTTTAAATGAGGTAGTCTGTTCACGAGCATCTACTGCACGTTTCAAAGAATGAGTACTTTCTCCATTCCCTCATCATGTATCAAGCAAGAGAGCGTAGCTGGTCTGTTAAATATAGGACTAAAAGTCAGGGGAAAAAAAATCTGGTTTCTATTCCTTGTTCTGCTATGAAATATACATATGGCTTTCAGCAAGTCATTTATCCCTTTTAGTCTTCATTCAGTCCCTCCATCTGTAAAATGGAGATGTTATATATTAATTCCCTTTTTACAACAGTATTGTGATGTTTAATTCATTAATGTTTTTGAAGACTTGAGAGATTAGAAGGAACTCCATAGATCTGCCTATAAATAACCAGGAAGCAGATGGGCTGCTACATTCAAAACTGTAGCAGCTTTCAAGTCCAGGCACAAACAATAGCACAAGTAACAATACACATTCTGAAGGGAGGGGGGGAAGCCTCAATCATATACCGTGAAATTTTTTTTCTTTTAAAATCAGCTTCTGAATTGCAGACCTTCACAATTAACAGCTTTATTCTCTGAAGCCAGCATGCAAGTTTTTTCAGATGCTAACTTCAACCCACAAAGCATTACCCCACGCTTTCCCTGGATCACCTTAAAAAAAGTTCATCCGTCCCACAGAGAAATAAAATCCATGTGCAAAAGACAGAGAGAAAGCTGAATATCACAATTATCTATAGAGATTATTATTTCACCTTCCTTTAAAGCCACATTAAAGCTGTGGGACAGATGACATCCTAAGTGGCACAAAGAAAGAACATAAACGAAGGTGTCTCCAGGGCTGATACCCCAGGGAAATGTGAGAAGCACACCAAACCTGCCCAAAAACCAAAAAAAGGCTGAAGACAGCATTAACGAATGAATGCTTACAATTAAAGAGCACATGGAACTGGGTTACTCAGCTGGACAGTTTCAAAATAACAATTAAACCTTACAGATGAACATCAGCTTAGGTACTCAAATGCAGTGTTTGGTTTTTACTCTTTAACGTATTATGAGCAGCACTAATAAATTTTTAATGTTACAGCCCTTTAAGACCTCAGGAGGAAAGGTAACTCCACGTATTTAGGGAATATCAAGTCAAGGTTTTTGCTTTTTCAACTATTTTGTTCACTTATGATTATTTTCTTTTTGACTATCTGTAAAAACTATCCATAAAAAAGGGCATACTGAAGTTTTATGTTCTGCCTGATTTTCAAGTTGTACACAAAGAAAATATTCCTGATCTTCCATAACTTATTCAGAGTAAAGGATTAAGAAAATAAAAAACATACTTAGTAGATTTCCATCAGTATGTAAGCTTGTTTAATTTTAAAGCAAAACGCAACCATACAATGCCAGTTCCATTACACATGTACAGTCAGTACTCTAACTCAGCAACTTCTGACAGCAGATGAATGGACAGATTGAAAATGTGCTCCACTTTTGGTTAAACCTCGGGTCACCAGTTTGCTAACCAGGATCCAAAAGCACATGATCCAAAAGCACATTGTCACAGCCGTACCAATTTAAGCTTGGAAAAACTCCATTTCTTCTGCCCCATTTTCACCTGGAAGTTCAAGACCTACCTTGTACACTTTGTCTTCTCATTATAGCTAATAATAGAATTGAGAAGAGCTGTCTGTTAACTACTTCCTCTATTTAACCATCTTCCATATACGTTTCCCATCCTTTCCACCCCACCTCAGCATTTTGTGAGAAGTGAAGTGAAAGATGAGTAGTAAAAAGAAGTGATGAGCAATATAATGAATAGTGAACCAGCAAATGGAGAACA